TTACCACAACACTAAATAAATAATGATACAACATTAAATAAATAACCTCAGTACATACAATAACCTCAGTACAAAATCTCCGCGATGACAACCGCTTACGAAGTTAGCGCAGCGAGAGAACCAATAACCGTCGCGAAAAAGAGTCAACAAATAACTTCGAGACTTTAGAGATTTCGATAGATTCGACTATCGATTTAACATGCACTTTTTTAGATAGGAAAGAAATAGCTACCGCATACGATAGAAACGTAGATTTACTTCCGGTAACAAAAGGGAAATACATTTCATTCACCAAGCATGTTAAAAGTACTACAGAAAAAAAAATCGTGAAATTTGCGTACAATTACGATTCATTGACTCATACAAATTTCTCATTTCGAGTCTCGAAAAATTGACATCTTATCTCGTGAAAGATAACTACGGATAATGCAACGCGAATTTTGTAATTTATCAGCTGAGCATTTCGATCTACTGACGCGAAAAGGTGTGTTTCCGTACGAGTATACTGACTGCTTTGAAAAGTTGGAGGATACGCCGCGCGAATCATTTTATAGTTCGTTAACGGGCGATACTGTATCCGAAAGCGACTACGAGCATGCGACCAACGTATGGCAGCGATTCTCCATTCGAACGCTCGGAGAGTACAGCGATCTGTATCTGAAAACTGACGTCTTGTTGCTAGCCGACATATTTAAAAATTTTCGCGATAGCTGCGTCGCGAGTTATGGACTCGATCCCGCGCATTATTTCACGTTATCGAGTTTCACGTGGGACGCCATGCTGAAATATACTCGTATTAAATTCGAACTTCTCACAGACGATGACATGGTCATGTTTGTCGAACGCGGTATACGCGGCGGCCTGAGTCAATGTTCCAAGAGATATGCGCGGGCTAACAACAAGCACATGCAGTCGTATGATCCATCGAAACCGTCGTCATACTTAATGTACTTCGACGTAAATAATCTGTACGGCTGGGCAATGTGTCAACCATTGCCGTATGCAGATTTTCAATGGGTCAACGACACAGCAAATTTTAATGTTATGAATATCGCGTTAGATTCTGCGATAGGCTACATTCTCGAAGTCGATCTAGACTATCCACAACACCTTCACGACGCGCACGCTGACTTACCGTTCTGTCCGACGCGCGATAAACCACCCGGCAAGCGGCAAGAAAAACTCCTCGCGTCTTTATATAATAAAAAGCGATACGTTATTCATTATCGCAATTTGCAGCAATGTACTCGTCACGGTCTCCGTATTACAAAGATTCACCGCGTATTGCAATTCGCGCAATCTCCATGGCTTCATGAATATATTGAACTAAATACAAAATTTAGAACACTAGCTAATAACAAATTCGAGAAAAATTTATACAAATTAA